AAGGGTAAGTTGGAGTTGCCCTTGCCATGTGCCAACTCTTATGATCAAAGCCAGTTGCAACCAAATAGTCTTTATTGCATTCAATCCTAGAAGAATTCCAGTACATATGCAAAGTACATGTGGAAAATGTGTGTACGTATTGGCATGCGCTACTTATGTGCCATCCATATCATAGATGCATACAGTAGTACTACCAAGGAAAATGCAAGTAATCCTATGAACTTAATAAATATTACACTAAAGGCATGTAGTAAATAACAAAAAAACACAAAACATATGAAAAAAACACAAAAAACACTGAAAAACACGGGCCCTCACAACGTCCCACTCTCTAATTCACCCCGCTTCGCGTGGGGTGGCCGCCCACACCGCAGGTTTATTTCGGTCCGTGAGAGGGGCTAAGGGTGGTTTTCCCCCGTGGGGGCTCCCCAAGCTAAGAATTTTCACTTTCCCCCCCCGTGGGGGCTCCCCAAGCTAGGGAATTTTCACTTTTCCCCCCCGTGGGGGCTCCCCAAGCTAGGGAATTTTCACTTTTCCCCCCCGTGGGGGCTCCCCAAGCTAGGGAATTTTCACTTTTCGTGGGGGCTCCCCAAGCTAGGGAATTTTCACTTTTCCCCCCCGTGGGGGCTCCCCAAGCTAGGGAATTTTCACTTTTCCCCCCCGTGGGGGCTTCCCAAGCTAGGGAATTTTCACTTTTCCCCGCCGTGACAGCTTCCCAAGCTATGGAATTTTCACTTTTCCCTCCCTTGGAGGCTCTCCAAGCTGCGGAATTTCAAATAGCTAGACAACGACGCCTAGATAGTCCCCCAAATCCCGTGTTCTTTGAATGTGTTTCCATGTTTTTGCAATGGTTTCCTTCAAAGCACGGTACTTTACACTTTTGTCGCCATAAAACCGGTCGAAAACATCATGTTCGACAATGCTTCCAATTCCCTTATCTCCCCAACCGTTGAAAATACCGCTATTTACAGTGTTTTCTTCAATTTTTCCATGTTCCAATGCCGGTAGCCAACTCCAACATATATATAAGAAATCCTTCCAAAACATTGTTTTTGACAGTGTTTTTCCAATGTTTCCAGTCAAACAGACGGTAATTTACACGTTTTTTGCCATAAAGGCAGTAAATCCTTCCAAAACATTGCTTTTGACAGTGTTTTTGTAATGTTTCCAGTCAAGCATACGGTAATTTACACGTTTTTTGCTATAACGTCAGTCCAAAACACTTGTTTTTGCAGTGTTTTCAATGCTCTGGCATCCAAAAACCCTGCAAAATCTTGCTATGTACAATGTTTTTTTCATTTTTGGCCGTTTTTCCATTGCCGGAAAGCTACCAAAATGACCCAAAATTCCATTTCAATACCCTCTTGCGCTCAGACACCCAAAAATCTCGAAAAATGTCGAAAACACCACCGTATTCTGGTCTCGGTGCGAAACCGTTTTTGGCCCCCCCCCAGCTAAAGCTGATATAGCGACTGCTATATTAACAAATGTCATTGAGCATTTAGTGTTGCTGTTTTGCCCCCCAATAAGCACGCCTTCACCGCCAAAGCGGTGTGGGCGGATTTTTAGAACTGCCTATGTAACCTGGGGGTCCTGATTCTACAAGGGACACAGGTGTTTCAAAAAAAACACCCTATGTAACCTGGGGGTCCTAATTCTATAGGGGACACAGGTGTTTTTAAAATCTTTATATTGACTTGCCCGGCCAGTGTGAATGTTCGAACGGACAAGCATGGCAAAGCAATGCAAAGCAACATGAGTAATTGTTAACGGATGTCAACGGAAATTTTCAATATACATGGGCATCCTATAAAATGGTGTGGTTTCATGAAACTTACACCAATTCTTAGCTCCATAGAATGGGGTGGCTTCAGGAAACTTACCCCAAATTTTACCTCCATGAAACGGGGTGGTTTCATGAAACTTACCCCAAGTCTTCGCTCCATAAAATAGGGTGGTTTCATGGCCATATCCCCCTTGTACTTGGATCTATCAGAAATTCTGGGAGTTGGCAATGTTGGGCTGTGATTTTTGTAGAGGTCAATTTGTGTAAACATGATTGCCCGAGAGTATCCTGGGTGCTGTGATTTTACAAGATTTCAGGCTTTTTGTGGGGGTTGGTGTCATGATTTTGTAGTGATGAAATGGGTACGTGTTGTGATTTTTAGCGCTCCCATTTTCTTCAACCTGTGCTCCTCACGAAAGGTAGCTTCTCCGTGCTTCAGCACAATCATAGGGGGTATTGGGGGGCTAGTCGGGGCAAAACGTAGAATTCTAGGCGTTATGTATTAGATTTCAATTATAAGGGGGCGGTGGGCCCCCTCCCCCCTCAAAATGGTAATGGGTTCAATTCCCACGGGTGACGTGGTCACGGGCCTCCACAGTAGAGGCACGCTCTCCATGAGGGAGATGTCCCTGTAGTCCAGCAAAAAGTGCCACGTAGCAGTTTCGACACCGTAGATAGACCCAAGATTGGCCAATTTGAAGCTTGTGGAGGTGCTGACAAAGGCCGGCCAATTTTAAGCTTTGTGAGGTTTTAAGGCTTTTAAGGCTTCTAAGGCTTTTCAAGGGTGGCGAAAAAGTGCCACGTAGCAGTTTCGAAACCGTAGATAAACCCAAGATTGGCCAATTTGGAGCTTTTGGAGGTGCTGACAGAGGCCGGCCAGTTTTAAGCTTTTTGAGGTTTGAAACGTTTTAAGGCTTTTAAGGCTTTTCAAGGATGGCGAAAAAGTGCCACGTAGCAGTTTCGAAACCGTAGATAAACCCAAGATTGGCCAATTTGGAGCTTTTGGAGGTGCTGACAGAGGCCGGCCAGTTGTAAGCTTGTTGAGGTTTGAAGATTTTAAGGCTTTTAAGGCTTTTCAAGTATGGCAAAAAAGTGCCATGTAGCAGCTTTGAAACCGTAGATAAACCCAAGATTGGCCAAGTTGAAGCTTTTGGAGGTGCTGACAAAGGCCAGCCAGGTTTAAGCTTTTTGAGGTTTGAAGGGTTTTAAAGCTTTTAAGGCTTTTCAAGGGTGGGTCAAAACTGCCACGTAGCAGTTTCGAAACCGTAGATAAACCCAAGATATAAACCCAAGATAGACCCAGTTTGCTTACGCAGCTTAAGCTTTTTGAGGTTTTAAGGCTTTTAAGGGCTTTCAAGGGTGGCGAAGCAGTGCCACGTAGCAGTTTCGAAACCGTCGATAAACCCAAGATTGGCCAAGTTGAAGCTTGTGGCCAGGTGGGCTTCCGCAGCCTGCTGCGGCGTTGACAGAGGCGGGAACGCAGGCTTGGCCAAGTTTTAGCTTTTGGAGGCGCTGACAAAGGCCGGACAGTTTTAAGCTTTGTGAGGTTTTAAGGGTTTTAAGGCTGTTAAGGCGTTTCAAGGGTGGCGAAAAAGTGCCACGTAGCAGTTTCGAAACCGTAGGTAACCCAAGATATAAACCCAAGATAGACCCAGTTTGCTTGCACAAGTAAAGCCACAGCCACGGTTGCACACCTGCGAGCTTTGTGAGGTTTTAAGGGTTTCAAGGCTTTTCAGGCTTTTCAACGGTGGCGAAAAAGTGCCACGTAGCAGTTTCGAAACCGTAGATAAACCCAAACTATAAACCCAAGATAGCCCCAGTTTGCTTGGGACAAGTAAGGCCACAGCCACTCAAGGGTGGCGAAAAAGTGCCACGTAGCAGTTTCGAAACCGTAGATAAACCCAAGATTGGGCAAGTTGAAGCTTTTGGCCACGTAGCAGTTTCGAAACCGTAGATAAACCCAAGATATAAAACCAAGATAGACCCAGTTTGCTTGCACAAGTAAGGCCACAGCCACGGTCGCACACCTGCGGTGATCCCGGGCGCCGCCCCGCCTAGGCGAAGGCTAGGCAGGTGTCGGCGGATATTTACAATATATAATATATAGATAGATGTTGTTTCCTAGATGTTGTAACATGTTGAAACTAGCGAAAGAGGTCGCAAGATTCAAACACAGTATATATATATATTATTTTCTTTAAATAATAATTATATATATATATATTCTGCGAAAGAAAAGGGCATGTTCAAAAAACTCTACAGCCGCTACAATTGAAATTTCTGGAGTTTGGTTTCAGAGGTGGAATTGGGTCTTGTAATTTCAAACATGCATGTCCATTTCGCCATTTGTCATTGGTACACGTCGATCTTTTGCAGGATGCACGAGTCGACTCAAACGAAGCGGCTAGAAAGAGAGTGCTCGACTTGCTGGAGAAGAACTCACAGGCCCCTCCAGGCGACCAGAAGGCCGAAAAAGAAGTATGCACTCAGTTGGGGGATGCGTCTGACGTAGCCAAGCGCATTGTCGTGATTGGTGGCACAGGTGCCGGCAAAAGTGCTTTCTGTGGGCTTCTTGATGGCAGCTTGAAAAGAGACCCAAATGGTGAAGATGAGACTGCATGGTCATCCAATTACAAACTGGGTCACAGTGGTAATTCAGAGACCGACGTGCCCGAGTTGAGAGTTGGAGATTGGCTTGGAACCGATGCAGAGTTTCCCATTGTCATTGTGGACACGCCTGGCATGGACGACAGTAGGGGCGGACAAAAAGATGAGGAGCACTTGCGCACCATAGCTGGCTGGGTCAATGGACTTCGGCACATTCACCTGGTGGTCATCCTTGTAGGCAATGAAACCAGAATGGGTAGTTCCCTCAGAAAGATTCTCCTGGAGTTCCAGAAGCGATTCGGCAAGGATCTTTGGACACACGCAATGGTGGTTGTGAATAGATGGGACTTTTATGGAGACAAATCGCCCACAAGATTTGCAGCTAAGTTTCGCGAAGTGCTGCAAGGTCCGACTGAATCCGGGCTCCCGGGCCAACCGAGCAATGCACATCTTGGCCTCGGGCTGACAGAGGAGGAGTGCAACAAGATGCTTCCATTTGCCTTCCTGAATGTCCAATATCGTAGTGGACAGACAGAGGTGGTCAAGGCCATGAAGATTGAATTGGACAAAATGAAGGCCAAACTGAAAGAGCTTGAGCCATGGCACGTCCGTGTAAAAGCTCAGTCAGAACCGCTCAATGCCCTCATCGATGCAGTTCGCAAGAGCAACAATTCTGCAACGCTGAAGCAGGTCTTCGACTCAGCCAAGTCAACGGTCGACAAACCCACAGACTTGACTGAAGCGAAGCTGAGTGCCGTGGAGGAAGAAATTTTGCGGCGGGAAGACTTAGAGGCAGCAGAGGAAAGCTTGACCAAGGCCGTCGAAGCTTTTAACAGTTTCAAAGAAGAAGGCACGAGCAAGCATGCAGAGACGTTTGTCCAAAAGTTGGACATGGCCATAAAGAAGTTGCCAGGCGCCCTGATGAACCGCAGGATCTCCAGGTTGAAGCCTTCTTGGGGCATGCTGAAAGCTGCCTTGGAAGGAAAGAGAGAATTGTCCCAAGACCTGCCCATGGAGTTGCGGCAGAAGGTGAACCAGCTGCTTGAAGAAATCAAGGGAACGAAGAAGATCGAAACTATCCTGTCAGCTTGGAACATCAAGTTGAGCAAGGACCAGTTGAATCAACTTCAGATATTGGGCATGAGTTCAGAAGAAGATTTGGCCCAACACATTTCGCAGGCTGGCTTGAGCAACTTTCCACCAGCTCACCATCCCAGGGCCAAGATCTTGAAGGAGTGGAACGGCCTCAAAGACTCTTCCACGGAGAAGCTCACATGGAAAGCTGCGAATGGCATGGTGAAGAAGTTGGAAGAACTCCTTCGTGGTTCTCAGGCTGCAAAGGTACCCCAAGAGCAAATACAAAAGATGGAGAATAAATTGAGGAAAGCCAAGGCGCGATGGGATGGTTTGGTCCGACCTTGGTTGCATTTGGGCAGCTTGAAATTCTGGCGCTTGGAAAATCTGGGCTGATGTTTCTGCTGCCAATTTGATCAGTTTGTTTAAGTTGCTTGGTATCGTCGCTGTAAATGCGCCAAAGATAGCAAAACGTGTAATATGAATTACCCAAAATCTCAGGTTAGGATACTTTCTATCTATTAGGCTATTTTAGTTTTGAAGGTTAAATTCTATCTATTAGGTTGTTTCATTTTCTGACTATTAGGTTGTTTGCCTGTTTGCCTAAATAGTCTATTTAGTCGAATAACCTAAAAACTTTGTTTTTTTAACGCTTTGTTCTTCTTTGAACAAAGCTATATGTTCAACATTTTAAACTTCAAACAGTTTTTTCCACGTTAGATTTTGAAACTTAAAGCTATGTTAACATATATTTTAAACTATATATGTTGTTTGGCAAATATTTTCTCACGTGTTTGTTCATTGCTTTGCGAGTGATATACAGTGATATATATTGTTTACTCAGGATATATGTGGGTATGAAGTGAATCTGTTTGTGCTAAAGTGAATCTTTTTGTGCTAAGGTGAACCTGAAAATTTCAATAGAAATATTTGGGATGGGACAAACCAACACAGCATGGAAACAACAAAACAGATGTCACAAAACAATATATAACAAAAACATGTTTTGCAACAATGGCGATGGATAGTTTTCGGGGCGCCAAGCCAGCACAGAATAAAACACCAAAAACAAAAAACACTAACTCCGGGGCTACACTTTATTTCTTTTGTTGGATCTTCCCGCACACCTTTCTATACCCAAAAATCAGGCTCCGCACGTGCCTTCGCGGCCCCAACGAAACCAGCTAACACTTTTGGGCAAGGAAACCCGCCCAATATGAACATATTTTACATCGAAACACGCAAAACCAACACTACAAAATGTAATTTCTCAGCTGCATCGGTTTTGAGGTTCAAAGGAGTTCATGTGAATTCATGGGTGCTCATTGCTCATTTAATTTGTGCTCATGGGTGGTCATGTGTGTTCATGTGTGTGTGTGTGGAACATCTGAAAAGATGTAAAACTTCTACCTGATGATGTCGTTTTTTGCTGTTTGTTAGGTTTTCGTTATTTCACATCGTGATGCTTTATCAATTTCAAATGCAGTTTCCAAATCCAAATCCATTTTAAAGCAGGGGGGCAACCTCGTGCGCATAGCTGGTTGCCCAACGAAGAGGGCTATGCCACGACTGATATGGAGTCTGATCAACTCCACGTACCTGCATCCTTTTTTTCAGAAATGGGAAGAGGCTCAACCCTAGAACCTCCACGTCGAATTTTCATTTGTCAATTCGCTTCAAACCAAACCATTCTGTTTTCCGTACCTGTACGGTTTTCGCAATCTGAAAGAGCTGCATCAGAACCTGATGAACCTTCGAGCAAGGACGTAGAAAGATTTCCTTCTGACTGTTTCTCTTGTCTAATCTTCAAAATCGATCCTGTCAGGCTTTACTGGAATGTTTTTGCACATGAGATGCATTCCACAACAGAAATTCGCAATGATGTTTCTGAGCAAGTGTGTCATTCCTGCTGCGTACGTCAAGTTGGCAGGAACCCCTCGGGGAAAGCCTTTCTAGGCTAACAATTGACAGTAAAACGATGTCTGAATTTACACTTTTGAATTAGTAATTCGTCTAAGTAAAGTGAACTGCTGGCCTTTTTCCTGGTCTCACTTGTCGTTGTCGATGGGTTGAACAGTGTGCCGCAGTACCTGGCCTCTCCATTTTGTCACCTGAGACCTTATGCATAGCTGGAAGCCACGATAACACCTCCTTTTCAGTGCAGCTCAAGTGAAGAACCGCAGCCATTTACATGAAAATCCAGGCAACAGGTCATTCTTGCAGGTATGGTGCTTCTTTCTTTTGTGGTCGTTGGTGAGGTTGAATTGTGCATGTAATTCAGGGGTTGACTACTTCAGCCGTTTATAGGGTTGGAACCTGACAGCCGAGGGCCTTTGAGCCTTATCACGAATACTGCATGAGTTGTGGATGCATCAATTTTTTTTGAACTAGGGTTTTTCTTTTTCTATCGTCTGACAGTGCTGCCATATCTGGTCTCGTGCCATGCTACCTGGCCACTGGACGAACTATCCAGACAACATGTGGAACTACGGCTGGTCAGCTCCAGTTTTTCCATCTCCTCAAGCGGCCGTACCGTTTGGACAATTTTGTGGAGGTGATATGATGCGTCAGCAGTCACAGGTCCACCAATGCAGACACCAGTGACACAAATTCCAACACCAGTGGCACCTCAGCCCACTCAATCTGGGTCCAACGTTACCTTCAATCCAGAGGAGATGATGCAACAGATGCGACATACTGTCGAATCTGGCATGCAGGCCTTTATGGAGAAGAACAAGGAACGAGCAAAAAGCCCTCCTCCACATGTTGAACCACCACCTACTCCTGTACCGACACCCATTCCAATTCAACATCCTCCACCTGATCCTGCTCTACCACCACTTCCACGGCTTCATCGCCGATCTCGGTCACGTTCTCAACGGCACCATTCCGGTCTGGACAAACGTCCAGTTTCCATTCCAAGAAGTCCAAGGAGAGAAAAACCAGTCAGCCGTCCACGTCACCGACGTAGACACTCCAACTCACGAGACAGATCCAGACGTCCAAGTCATGCTCCCTCAGTCACCCTCCGGTCAGCTTCTCCACGACGTCGTGAAGTACTACGGGGACGAGACGATGATTTTGCTGGCGATGATCAAAGCCACCGACCAACATCCCTTCAACCTTCATCGTGGGACTATCAACACTACGACCCACCTACAACGTCCTACAAAGACGACCATGATTCCAACTACAGTTCGTACGATCAACATTCCACCAACAAGTGGAAATCCTGGAATCAATGGAAAGATCATTCCAAAGCCTCCTACTATACCCATCCCTCAGGATGGATCGACTATCCAAAGTCATCATACAAGCATCAATCCTACAACGATCCTCCTTCCAAACACACATCAAAACCACTCACGGCATTTTCTTCCGACCACTCTACACATGGCCATGGCCATCACTCACGTAGATCTGGCTCCGTCCAATCTCGGGCCTCCACTGTCCCTCCAGGACACATTGCCATCAACCTCCAAGAAGGCTCTAAAGAGGAATGGGCACATCCGTCACGCTCTGCATCACCCAGACAGAATGCGTGCAGCGAACGAGCTGGCCAGCAATGAACGTCCAGAACCATCCTTGTCCATCGTCCATGCTGAATATGATGAGGCCATGGAACAGATCCATAAGGTCGATTCGAGACTCCCACCAGACATCGCGAGAAAAGCGGTCCAACTGTTCTTCAGCACAGGCCTTCTTCCGGCATATGACCTCTCTAATAGCCATGTTCGGGAACTTCCTCAAACCAGCATGCTTGCACTAGTCATGCCCTTACCGGATATCAGCAGGTTCCAGATGCCCAATCCTTTTGGTGGGCAAAGCAATATTACTTGGGCACTCTGCCATGGAACAACACTTCGCACCTCACAGCTGATCCTCATGGAAGGCAAGATCAGACCGGCAAACTGGTCATACCACCCAAATCCACAGAGGTGCCACCTACCAACCTTTGGGGCATTCTACATTGGCAGACAAGTCTCGAATGCTGACCAAGACTTCCCATCTTGGGCAGAGCAAGAACTCCTTGATTCTATGGAGAAGAAGGGCAAAGGCCAGCAAGAGATCACCGTTGGTGCGATGTATCGAGGATCACGTGATCACCTCGCACTAAAAGCTGGAGGCAATGAAAAAGGGCAGCTCAACGTGATTGAGAAAGGCATAGTCACCACTCCTGAGAAGTACACGATTGCCCCTAGCAACCACGTGGGGTTGAAATTTATTGCCATCAAATGGGCTGATCTCAAAAGCACTGACAGCTCCCCAAGACGCCCAATTGACCTTCGGGACACAGACTCCGAGGACAATGTCAACTATCGAACCAATGAGGAACGTCATGCGGACCGACGTCGAGGTTGGGCACTTAAGACAGCACTGTCAGCTCGTGTATTATTAGCTTATGTTGTCCTAAACAGGATCTTACATTCATTTCTAGGATTCACCTGGACGAACGCTCTGGTCAAAAGTGCCTCGTTATTCCTCTTTTTGCTTTTATTTTGTGAGGGTTTTGGTTTTCTTGTTGGATTGTTGTCGCTTGTTTTCTTCTTTTTCTTCTGGGCAACTTTCTTTTGGGCTTCTTGCTGGAAGGACCATGACCGGTGATTGCTCACTTGATGCAACATTTTGTTGTCATTTGAACTTCACTTGAACTTACATCTGTGTTTGCAGTTTCTTTTTGTATCATCAGAGAAAAAACACGGCACTACAGTGCACCCATGGCGGAGTCGGATCGTTCTCGATCACCAGTACCGGGCCGCAATCGCACTGAACCTGGCAGTCAGAACCCTCCTGTACGGCAAGAACTTCCTTTCTTTCCTCGATGGTGTGGACCAATGCAATCGGCCATTTGGCACTCGCAGCAAATGTCACGGCCTCAGTCTCGACCTCAGTTTCGGCCTCAGTTTAATGTACGCCAGCCTGGACCTTATATGATGAACCAATCCATCAACTCAACGGCTCCTATGACAACATGGTCCAATCCACGATTTCCACCAGCACCTCCTTCGTCACCTCCACCAACTCTTGCATATCCATTTCCTTCTCGACCACTCACTCCACCTTGTTCACCTACGCTGCCATGTCCTCCGACTCAAATGGCTTCGCCCAGCACTCCATCCATACCGTCAACTCAACCTCGTCAAGCAGGCACCCCGTATTTACAGTCACCAGCGGGCCAAACAACCACCGACGACAATCGGGTCTATGGTTTCGATCTCAATCCTCATTGGCAAGAAGACAAAGATCACTATGACAACCAAAAGATCAACGGCTTGACGTTTCCTCGGTGCATTCGACCATCAGCCTTCACGCAAAAG